AAAATGGAGTAGTAGAAAGCCAAAAACTTTCTTTCCCAAAAATTAATCACTCCTAAAAAGATAACCCCTTCAATTCAAGAAATTAATGATTTTAATTTTCACAAAACTTGAAGCTAATCTCAATTTTTTTGAAAAATACGTTTCTCATGTCAGAGTTTTTGAGGTCAAAAATTTCTTCCATTATTTTATCTGGCATAACTTCTTTTCCAGTTATCAACACTATCTCTCCAGGTTGGCATTCCAGAAAACACCAAGGAGGAAAAATATCTCAAAGACTACTATCTGAAACTGAAAATATTAAAGTCGAATTTATTCGACAGTGTGCAAAACAGTGTTGGTTTCCAAAAGAAATTGGAAGAAAGAAGACTGAATAAATCACCCGTAGAAGACTCGATTTTATCATATGTTTTAGCTGAAGTGCCCGTAGTGGAATATTCTCCTGCTGATAATGCTGTTATCATTCCGAGGATTTTGTTGACTGAACCATTCTTCGAGGAAAACTATCCCAGGTATGTAAATTAGCGATACATCAGTTATAGGAACTTTCTCACGAAGAATTCTTATTTTATATTGCAAAAAACTAAAAATAATCGATTTGAGTATAGTTTTATTTCTGGTCGTTTTATAGGTATGCGATGATTCGTCTAGAGGGCGACAAATTTTGTAGAGATTTTCGTGTTACTGTGAAAATATTATTTATTATACACATGATGAAGAAAAACGAAAAATTACCAAGCATTCGTTATATTATAATTTGATAGTTTCAGAATTTCTTGAGAAAATTTTACGGAAATAAAGTTAACGCTCACAAAAACCATTTCCTATTTTTCAAACAATGTACATCATTAATGAAATTATATAACATTTACGAGGTCTGTTAAAATATAAGGAGGTGTTAATGTTTGAATTCCTGGACTGATTTATATTTTAGGTAAGATTGATAATTCACAAATGGTCCTTCGAGCCGGATATACAGAAATATAAATTTTAGGTAAGATTAATAATTAACGAATGTTTTCTTATTAGCCAGTGGGCTATGCTTGAAGAGTGGCAATAAACAATTCTAAAGAAATGAACTTTAATCGTTCAAGCCAGTCTCGAATATAGCTACACAGTAGGTTGAATGAGTGCGTTTGATTATATCCAACGCCCTTCGTGGTATTAGCCAGGTTGTAGTTGTTTTCTGATAGGCGTCAGTCCATTCAACCTACTGTGTAGGTATATTCGAGGCTGGCTTGAACATTTAAAGTTCATTTCTTTAGATTTGTTTACTGCCAGTTTTCAAGCATAGCCCACTGACTAATAAGAAAGTTTTTCTTCCTTATTCAGACGAATCGGGCAAATTACGGATATGCAGTTGGTTAGTACCTCGTCCACTAGATAGAGTGACATTTTGTTGTTCGCTACAACTTAGGAAGAGGAATGAAATACTCTGAAAGAATGCCGATTTCCAATTATGGAATATCATTGACTTTAGGTCGATGATGGCCACTATCTTGCACTGATAAGTGGCCCGAAATCGGTCTGCAAGTGTGCCCATTCCAAAATTGAAGGTCTACACTTTCAGTTGTATTGCCAATTGCATATGCAGGAAATTTTCTGTGAAGATTCCTGCACTGACGCCTGTCGGATATAATCCAACATTCTTCGTGGTATTAGCCAGGGGAGTAGTTGTTTTCTGATAGCCGTCAATCCATTCTATCCACTGTGTAGCTTATTTCTTTAGGTTTAATTAACAAACAAACGAACTAGTCTGTGGTTATATGTCTGAAAAGCTTCTGTTAAGACGTAGTCAGGAAAAAATCTGTCAGAAACTAGCTTCTCAAGTTAAGTCTTGCCCGGTGCTATTGAAATCTCATAGTTCCATAACTGAAAGAAGTGAAACCAGACTGCCGAAGACGAATATGAGCGAATCTATTGAAATTTCTAATCCGGTACCTTCGAATTTTCGAAGTTCCGAACGTAGCAGAAGTCAGAATATGTCAAAAAACAAAACTCTATTTATATTCTTATATTAGCAACTAATACAAATAAACGACAGTATAAATTAGTCAAGAATTCAAATAGTAACAGGTGGATGTTTAAATTTCACGAGCTACGAAGGGTGATTAGCGATATTTTTATGTTGGTACACTCCTCTTGAACGTATGTGCACAGTTTCAGTTGTTTACCATGTTTATTTTGTTGGTGAGAGGTATAAAAGTTTGAAGTTTTTTGCGAGTTTGGCGATTTTCTGCAACCAAAAAAAATTGATCAAAGAATTTGCATCAAATTTTGTGTAAAAACTGAAATTGAGTGATCAAAAACACATGAAATGTTGATAGTGGCATACTGTGATTGTACTCTAAGCCAGAAAAATATTTAGAAGTGGTACATGCTTTTCACAGAAGGTCGAGAAGATATGAATGACGACGATCGTCCTAGACGCTCCAGCACATCAACAATCGATGAAAATTTTGAGAAAGTGGAAAACATTGTCATGGAAAATCGTTGAATCGCTATTAGAGATGTTGCTGAAGATGATGGCGTATCGGTTGACACATACCATGCAATTTTTTCGAGAATATCGGTCATGAAACGTGTGGAAGCGAAGATCATTCCAAATTTGCTGAATTTTGACCAATAAAAATATCGCATAAGCATGGCTCAGGAATTGTTGAATGGCGTCAACGGCGATCCAGATTTTAACTGGTGACGAATCGTGGGTATATGTGTAGGAAAGTGGGATTCAACGACTGCCGTCAATGTTTTGGTTGATTTCTGGGGATGTTTTAGTCATCAAAGAAGGTAAACTAATAGACCATAAAGTGTACCGGAAGAAAACACACACAGATCGATACCTACGTAATGGATCCAACTATCATCCAAAACAGAAACGAACCATCATCAACACCCCAGTGAACAGAGTTTCGAAAATATGTGAAGAAAGGTACGTCGACGACGAAATAAAACTCCTAACAACTGTGTTACAAGCGAACGGCTATGACAGAAAAGGCATAATCCACGCTACGCGTCTAAGGGAGAAGAAGAGAAACACCAGAAAAGTCAACCCCAAGGCACTGTCTATCTGCCATGCGTAGAAGGTGTCACCAACCGAATCAGAAAAATTGTAAAGAAGGAAAAAATTAACACCGTCTTCAAACCAACGAAGAGAATATAGGATGATCTGAGATCAACAAAAGACAACAGAGATCCATTCAAATCAGCGGGAATTGTGCACATTTAACGTTGACGGCAATCTCAAAGACCAAAAAATCCAATTCATAGAAATGAACCGGCTGCGAACCAGTCCACGTGAACTGTAGAATTGGCGGTTCGTATTTGACAATTTTTACTAACCAAGTTTTATGATTGGCTGAAGAGTCATAAAATTAAATTTGAAGTCATGTTTCGGTGACGAATAGAAATCGGGGAATGAGGGGATGGTTATCGCCATCGTGTTCAATTCAGGAACTGATTGCGATTTGAGTGTTGAAATTCGATATTGGTGTAGTTATAATTACTTAAAATGTTTGTTATCTGTTTAAAATGTGGCGTCCTTGGACAAGTATTAATAGTAATAACGAGTGTGATAACAACATTCGAGGAAAGATGAAATACATAGTTTTTTCATGGATAACAAATTGTATTTTGAAAATTACTATAACAAAAACCAAGTACTTGAAGTTTTACAGACAAAAACATTTGAAAAAGTGTATACCCTTGAGAGTATTGCTGAAAAGTATGGACACACCATATTGAGAATTCCCCCCTTTTTTGTGTTTTCAAGCCCATCGAGTTGATTTGAGGAAAATTCAAACAAAGCAACAGGCGTAGAAATAATTTTACAAAATTTGATAAGAAGGTAATAGAGCTAATTAAAGAAGAAGTATCGAATATATTGCCCCATCATCAGTACCGGGCATGGTCTCTTCAGAACGGTGTGAACCGTCTGAGTATCACGACCAAATGAAAATAATTCCAGCTAGTCATAGCTGATGCTGATGATTTTACTTCAACTCTGTGGAAAAAAAATCATGTGTTTTGCATCACAATAATGCACTTACTCACTCGTCATTGCTTGTTCGTAATTTTTTGGCCAAAAACAACACTGTAATCATGCCTCAGTCACCGTATTCACCAGATTTAGCCCCTTGTCACTTTTTCCTGTCCCAAACGAAAAGGATTGGAAAAATATTGCCACAAGAGTGATAATCTGAAAGGGACTACTATGAGGGGACGAAATAGAAGTTGTTGAATGAATAAATATTTTTTGAGAAAAATGAAAATTCGCCTTATTTTTAACAGACCTCGTATATACAAAACCTATGTTATTCCTCTCTTCGAGAGATTTGAAATGGTAATTAAAAATCTGATTGATTTTGTGTAAAAAGGACAAATTGATTACACTTCATTTGTGGAGATTGACCAAGTGATAGTTTCTCAAGTAATGAAAAGACAATTTAATCACTGCCGTATATAATATTACCTTTCACTACATATTCAGACTCAATTTAATTGAGTAATTGAGATCAATGGAAACGAACTGGGAAATTACACTCTTGTGAGATTAATAATAGTAGTAGGATTATTACATGATTATATATAATTTTGGATAATGAGATATAGTTTGAACCCCTTATTAATTTATAATAGAAGCATATATACAGAGCTTATGTAAATATGAACTGCTCCAGTGGAATGAAAATAGACTGATACGGGTTTAGATGTCTGAAGTGATGCTGCAGAATTCATAGATATCATTAAAATCATTAATCACCACCAGTGAGATCATCACCAAAATAGTGTCATTAGCATGGACTTGAAATAAATGCGGAAGCAGTAGAAGATATCATGGAATGAATTGATTATACAGTGTGTCCCAGCTAAAACTTGTCACACCCCAATCTAGGAACTCGTGAAAACAATTGAAAATCGCTCAGACCCGTCGATTTGTATTTCAAGGGGAAACATCGTGTTGTCAACCCCCACATCACCAGCACACCCTACTTCATAATTTTCAATGGGACTACTATACTTATGGTACATCATCGATCCTCAATTTCTGTACACTGATGTATTTGGGATTGAATTCCCTTCAAAATGATGTATCACAAGTATAGTAGTCCCATTGAAAATTGTGAAGTAGAGGGTACTGGGGATGAGAGGGTTGACAACACAATGATTATGTATTTAGTGAAAGTGTTCTCCTTTAAAATAAAAATTGACGGGTCTGAGCGATTTTTAATTTTCAAAACGAACTCCATAAATTTCAAACTTTACAACAAGTTGACTTCAGAGATGTGTTCACTGAATAATATCAAATTCAACAAAGCTATTAGAGATATACTTTTAGACCATCGTTTTTATAGTATTGATTAATTTTTAAACAATTAATCAATCAATTGATTAATAATATATTAATCATATCATTCACTTGTATATTCAAATTTGTGAACATATTTTAATAGGTACGTTATGTTATATTGTAATGTCCTTTTAAATCTAAAAGTAATGAATAGTTTTTATTAGTTCAATATTACACGTCTCTCTATGACTATCTTCTATGTATGACATGATGTAAACTTATTGTAAAACAGTCAAATAAATCTATNAAGATGTCTCCTAGTGACCTGTCCACCTTCCTGGAAAGTACAGGATGGACCTAGGAGGACAACTTCTAGGAAGGATGTGGCCTAAGTGCTGTGAGCCTACACTTACACTCCCTACTTTACAGATACTGATATATATTGAATGCACAGTGTATTTAAGGTACTCAATTGGGTAAGGATTGATGCTTTATTATTTTTTTAAAACCATTTTAAGGTGTACAATACTGTAATACATTATTTTGATCTACCTTGTAGGGTTCAGCCAGCGTTTACAATGTAAGCAAAAAAAATGTCTTTATTTACGACACAACATTAGAAATCCCTAAAATTATTAATGTTTCTCACCCCATGGTTTTACAACCATGGGGTAAACCAAATAAATTTCTGGCTAAGTGTCTTTTTGGTAGTACAAAACGTCAGGTTAATTTCAATATTGTAACTTTTTTAGTGCTTGTGAAAAACATTGTTATACAAATTTTATGTACCCCCTTTAAGGGGCTGTATCTTAACAAGGGATGCTCCAATGAAATTTGTATATATGAAAGATCCCATCTTTTTTTCGATGAGGAAACACCTTGAATCTTTTACACTTATTTAGTTACACCCTGTATATTACATGTCTCTCTATGACTATTTTATATGTATAACATGCTATAAATTTATTGTAAAACAGTGAAATGAATGAATCTTTCTATCTATCTATTAAGCAAACTGTTGAGACCGTTAATCTCACTTTCAATATTTTTCAGTTCCATTATATATGGAAGACTGGGAGTAGAAATAGCAGAAGCAGTCGTTTCCTCGATCTTCCCTTATGACAGTTTATGGACATCCGATAGGAAAATTCTTTCACCATACCACATGACAGTCGAAGAATCAATAAAGAGCGTTCAACCGAGTTTGAAATGTATTGAGAGTCATATTTCGAATTCAAACTGGAACCTCAGCCAGGTTGCATCAAACGAAACTGCATTGAAGACTTTGATCCACGTGATGGCTGTTGATGTGGCAAAACAGGTAAGAACAATGTTGTAAATCATGCCCTAAAGAAAATAACGCCGGCCGTCGCTGGTAGCCATAAATCAAGTGTGACATGGTTTCGATGGAATTATGCCGAATTATCTATCAATGTCCAGATAATAGGTCACATGCATATTTTTTTCTAATTGTTCTAATCGATTATATAATACAAATACTGGAAACTTGAGGTAGATGCCAAAAACATGAATAATTAGTCAGAAAAAATTTTATAAAATTAAAGACACTAATACACAATAATTATTCAAGTACCTTGCAGCTTTGACGAATCTAATCTCAGCTGAAGTGAAATCGGGATGATTTGCGAAAAAACTTGTCATCATGAAGACATCTATTCTCGGCAAATTGTCAGATTGTGCCATGACAAAGCCGGCTTCAGTCATTGTATTTATTTTCTGGGACGTTCACAGTAATGATAAAAGATAATAGCCTAATAACTGCTTGCAAAACTCTAATTGAACGGACAAACAATAATAGAACAGCATGTAAATAAATATTGTTGACAAGGACTTTGACGTCATCCGATCCTACCAATCCCGTTGCGTTTTACCTAATTTGAATCTGTCTCGTAATTTTTACGTTTTCAATTATGAACTATTTAAAATTTATAAAGTACATAGTCATGTGAACCCATTTAAATTGATCTGGTATAAAAATAGATTAAGAAAAAAATTAAAATGAGCTGTTTTATATTACATGCATATGACCTATTCGTTTACCGTATATAAACGCGACTCACTCGCATATCGAGAAAGTTTAGAGAATTTTCGCGGACAGTGCAGTAAAGAGCGATCTAACAAGGCGATATACCTACATTTCGATAATACTTGAAGTTTTAGTTAAAGTTAATTTTGATTATTGTACAGTGTAGTCGATTATTGGTTGACCCACGGGGAAAGCGTAACAATATAGTATTTCAATTTTGTTTTTCAATCTAATGGCTACTAAACTAGTTGTCAAATTTGAAACAATTATGGGTCAAATGATTCACAAACAAAATACAATAATTTAAAGCTCATATTTTGATGTAATAAAGTTGCATAAGTATTTATATTCTCTTATAAGACATTAAAACAAAAATTCCTATTCAAGAAATAAAATGAAAATCCCGTATGATTTAGACACAAAAAAACCTATTTTTTGATATTCCTTATTAGTATCAACTTTCTCATGTGAAAAATTTCTATGCTGAAGAAAATCAAGTTTGATTATTTTATTGGTATAATATATTTGTCGAGGAGACTTGAGACCAAAAGGAGGTATGTGCATGCTATTGTTTTTTTAGGTGCTTTGATGATGGCTCTGTTGTTGACGCAACCCAAATTTTAGTTCTGATGGAAGTGTCAGCCCCCTCATTAAATCTTTAATGTTCTGATTTCTCTCAGCTGTCAGTTATATATAGTAACATCTAGTTTGAAGCTCTTTAGTACATGATAGACGATCCTTTTTATCCTATACACTAGCGACCTGCCTGGGCTCCGCACGGGTGCAATGCTGATACTAAATATATATATGAACGCATGCGATTGCTGCTAATCATGAGGTGTTATGGGGCAAAGCGAGGCCTTCAACATACTATTTATAGGCACGCGCCGCCGGCTCTCGGCAGATACCACCGCAACCGCTATGCCCCTGCATTTTAAATCTGTAATATTTTCAAAAATATTCATTCAATTATATGCTGTAAAGGGCGAGAAGCCCGGAGAGCCTGTTGTGAAGTCGAAGACTTCCACTAACTTCTAGGCTACAGAAAGCACTCTCAAATGACCACCATAAGAATATTGGCATCCTGACGATGGAAAATGATGACAAAGCCACCAACTTCCAAGAGAGCGCTAAGATTCTTATGGAAACTCACTTCCCAGATTCTGTCTTTCCTGGAACGACAAACTGGACGGAAGTACCAACAACACCCTCACAATACGACAGGCAATCTGCTAGTGCAGTAATTGATAAGGACAAGATAAGATGGGACATATCGGGCTTTTCTCCCTTCAAGTCACCAGGACCTCTTGGTATAAGACCAGCCCTACTTCAATGGGGAATGGATATTCTTATGCCGCACCTGGTTGGAATATTCGTCCGTCACACCCATGCTCAATCCCTAAAGAGATGGGATGGAATCAAAGGATGCAACCTTGCCAGGATCACCCTGGGCGATTCTGGGAAGCTGGCGCCCAGGGTAGCGAAGAAATATCTGGCGATGACCAGGAAAAACCTACGCTTAACAGTAGGATTTCTGACTGGCCACGTCCATATTATGGAGCTAGTGGACACACCTCTATGCAGGATGTGTGAACAGGAAGATGAAACTGTCAGGTATGTCTTATGTCGATAAGATGTCTCCTAGTGACCTGTCCACCTTCCTGGAAAGTACAGGATGGACCTAGGAGGACAACTTCTCGGAAGGATGTGGCCTAAGTGCTGTGAGCCTACACTTACAGTCCCTACTTTACAGATACTGATATATATTGAATGCATAGTGTATTTAAGGTACTCAATTGGGTAAGGATTGATGCTTTATTATTTTTTTAAAACCATTTTAAGGTGTACAATACTGTAATACATTATTTTGATCTACCTTGTAGGGTTCAGCCAGCGTTTACAATGTAAGCAAAAAAAATGTCTTTATTTACGACACAACATTAGAAATCCCTAAAATTATTAATGTTTCTCTACTATATTATGCATGTTATATACATATAACCTTCCTCTTAAATAACTCTGTTCAACAAAACACATCAAAATCCGTTGCATAGTTTTAAAAATCTAAGCATACATAGGGACAGACTGCAGGAAGCTACTTTGTTTTTTACTGGTAGTTATATCTTTTTATTCTATACCGGTTAACCGAAAATACAGTTAAAAATTTAGTTATATTTTTTTATTCTATACCGGTTAACCGGAAATACAGTTAAAAATTAAAAATAGAACCACCTTGTGTATTTTCTAAACCATTTGATATTTATCGAAATATTACAAGTGACCATTTCTATTCAAAATTTCGGCGTAGAAGACATTTTATCCGAATTCAATATGGCGGCACCCTAGATGACATCATGTTACCGGCATATTGATTCAGGAGAAAATGGCCTCTACGAAGACATTTCAAATATAAATGGTCACCCGTGTTATATCGTTGAAAAGAGAATATTTCGGCCTTTTCAAAAATATTTGTATTCTATGAGACAATAACAATAGAAAAGCCTTAGAAAAAGTTTCAAGACATTTTGGAGTCCATTTGAATTTTAGTGTGCTTTGAAAAACCATATATTTTAAAAAACCCCTGTCGATGATACTACCACTGACGAAATGTAAATGATTTCTCACAAAATGTTAGAGAGTTGAGGAAATGGACATATCTTCTTGAAATATTGCAGATAACATGAATAACACTTCTTGGACAGGTATAAAGTGTAACTATTTTGAGTATCCCACATGCAATAATAGTAAACCACTCAGTCATTCAATATATTTTTACACAATCTCATTTTTATTATAGGCTTTGATTTCTTCGTTGGAACAGACTGAACATACTCACCAACCTTCTCTAGAGCGGTACGAAGATACTGCATTATTTTTCATAGCTTACTCCCAGGTACGTTTGACTTTTATAATTGAAAATGGTTATATTATTATAAATCGTAAATGTCAATTCATAACTTGAAATAATTCCATTTTCCAGACTCAGTGCTCAGAATCCACCACTCAACAACAGTTGTATGAAAATATAGTCAACTTTGAGTTACCACAATATGTCAGGTAGGTGTTTTCATTATCAGGAAGGAATAATAATGCGTTAATATAATAACCCAGTCAGTATATTTTATATCAAAGTTATAAAAGAGGGTAATTATTTTGAGCTTGAGTATCCAGATTCCTGACTTCTCTGTTTTTGACAAGCTCATTGATGTCAGGTATCATATTCATTGTAATTATTTCAAGAATTGATTGGAAATGTTCATTCATAAGTCTTGTGCGATGTTTGTTCTTATTTATTTTCATGGCGGAGGACATCTGCTCACATAAATAGGAACTACCAAACATGCACAAAAGGCCTGCTGCATGCTTTTTTGATTCCGGGTAGTTATCTAAACATTCCAAACTCCTGGAAACAGCGTTAACCTCTTTAAATTTTTGTTTTAAAATACTGTCCGATTGAAAATCTATCAACTCCATTTGCAAATAAACTGGTGCCTGTGAAGCTTCAAAATTGAATAAATTGTTAAAAATTGGGAATTCCATTTCATTCATTTTGTGGAAGTCTTCAAAATAATAGGTATTTCTGCTTGTTGCTAAGAGATGGCGTTACTGTCTATGATTGAGATGTTTACTAGAACTAAATAGACCTTATTTTTTGTAGTGTAATAGTGTGATACTCTCTCGCTTGTCTAGGTATGTGTGGTACATGATATGTTTTTTCCCCGCTTGGAGCTTTGTTCATGAGATGAAGTTGTTATTAGTTGAAAATCATGCTCTCAGACGAAGGTTTGATATATGTAGCGGAGACGTATTGAAATTAATTGAGTCCCATGCACTTTGCTATCTGGGTAGGATCTTTCCTGTACCAACAAGAGGTAATACCTCGAAACCGCGATCTGCAGGTGATCTATTTGGATAATTTCAGCATGGTCCTATTGCTGGATGAGCAAGAGACATCTGCGAGACTAGACTTTGTGAGAAATCTTGCATAAATGTCTGTCGGATATAATTCAATATCCAGCGTGGTATTAGCCGGGAAAGTAGCTGTTTTCCGGCAAACGTTTTCCAGAGCCTGATGTGTAGGTAGTTGCTGTGTGGGTAGTTTAGAAATATTCATTGTCTTATAAAATATATGATCTATAGGCAAGAACACTTTTGTTATGATTTCACGTTACGTATTGTATATGTAATAATAATGTCTCGAAACTCAAAAAAAAAGATGAGTTTAGGGAAGCACATGCTTGACTATTTGATCTTAAATCATCTAAAGGAACAATTTGTTCAGGCCAATCTCAACTCCCTACACTGTAGGTTAATGGACTGACACCTATCAGAAAACAATTACTCCCCTGGCTAATACCACGAAGACCATTGGATTATATCCGACAGATGTCAGTGCGGGATTCTTCACTGAAGTTATTCCTGCATTTTCTGTTGGCGATACAACTGCCGCAATAGATTTTCAATTATTGGAACATACTTGCAGACCGGTTTCGGGCTGTTTGGCCACTTGTCAGTGCAAGGTTAGTGTCTGTCAACATAAAGTCAATGATTTCCGATAATTGAAAATCGAATTCCTTCGGAGTATCATTCCTCGAACTAGGCTGAAGCGGACAACAAACAATAGATTTGTCATCGCCCCATCTGCCTGTGAACTCCCTACACTGTAGGTAAATGGACTGACACCTATCAGAAAACTACTTCCCTGGCTAATACCACGAAGGGCATTGGAATCCGATAGGTGTCAGTGAAGAATCCTGCACTGACACCTGTCAGATATAATCAAATGCCCTTCCTGGTATTAGTCAGGGGAGTAGTTGTTTTCTGATAGGTGTCAGTCCATTAACCTACAGTATAGGGAATTGAGACTGGCCTGAACAAATTGTTCCTTTAGATGATTTGATTTATGGCCAGTCTTCAAGTATGCCCACTGACTATATGTGAAATATTTGATCTTAAATGTAGATAAAACTACAAAATTATTGCGACCCAATTGTTTTTAATAAAATAACTTTGTAAATCTATGTACAGTTTATTGAAAAACAGGTTAGACCGCCCATCCTATTGAATAAACTTTGAAAAAAGCAAACTAGTAAAAATAATCAGTTGGTCACTTAATAATCGTCCCTTACAACATCAACAAATGAATCATCTTCTTCGAACACGTCATCTATTTCTTCTTGACTTAACTGTTCTCTTTTCAAGTCAGAATCATTCGGAAATCCCTCATCAACCCTGCTTTTCTTCAGAGGAGGCCCTTCTTCGCATTCATCTTCTTTGGCTGCGACATTTTTGTTGGCAGATTCTATGGTGTCGCTAGCAAGAACTTCAGTCTGTTGTGGTTCAAGACGAATATCTACAGGCGTTGATACTTCAACAGCTTGCTCTTTTTCTTGTTTGACATCACTGTTACTTGGCAATTCATTTGGCACATTAGAAACTGTGCTTTCAGAGTTTTTCATTTGTGAATTATCTTCAACTTCTTCGGGTTGAATTTCACTGCGACTGAGAAACTCCTCCTTCACAATTGCCTCTTCAGTGTCAGAGACCTTTTGCGGTAAATCTGTAACAAAATAACATGCACTTGTAAACATCTTCAACTTCGATATGTAATGTAATTGTAATGTAATGTAATTCGAATTAAGTAAGAGGTCTGTTAAAAAAATATATACATTTAATGTCATAAGAAAAATATCTTGTTGACAAACATTTAACATTGACATACATACATATATACATGTACAAATATATACATATATACATGAGCACATACTCAAGCAGTATGTTAAAATGTAAGCTTGTGCATGAGTAAAAATAAAATTGGGTAAATGAATGACATGTATAATAAAACAATGCAGAGAAAGAGAAAAAAATTCATATATGAAGATTGTGTCGAAGTTATCCTCAAAAAATTCATCTTATGTATGGTAACCCTTTTTGACAAGAATTGCCTTCAAGTTTCTCCTAAAAGATAGTAGTGTGACACATTCTGTTGAACTTTATGGTAACTTGTACATTTTTACTCCATTATATATAATTGAGTTCCTGATTTCACTACTTGTTTGGGATTATATTTAAAGAGAAATGAAAATTTCAATGTTTTTTACCACTTTTATTCGTAACTAACGTTAGTTGCAAATAAAAGTGGTAAAAAACATAAGAAATTTTCATTTTTCTTTTCATTATGATCTCCTACCACGTAGTAACGGCTACATCCATCAAAAATGATGAAACTACCAGAAGTATATACAGTAGCCAGGTAATTTACATATAGTAGAAAGAATATGGGTCCTGAGATTGATCCTTGGAGCAGTCCTGCTTTCACATTCTTTGTACTTGAACAACTGAACTTACTAAATCATCTCATTTAGTCAAAAAAAACACAGCACCGGTTTTCTAAAAATGGCCTTATTCTAAATACCGACAAAACCAAGGTATTTCTATTTAGAACCCTTCAACAAAGAATTGAGTCACCAACTGTTCATTTAGCAAATAATCAAACGAAAGTAGAAACCTTAACAGAATCTTTAGGTATACACATCGATGAGCATCTTCACTGGCATACCCACATTATAAATTTAGGAAAAAAATTGAATCAAATCTGCTACAGTGTAAGGATTATTAGTACTTATCTGAACAAAAAAATCATTAAAAATCATATATGCAGCAAATTTTGAGTCTTCCGCAAAATTTGGTATATTATTCCGGGGATCATCTAGTGGCATCTCAAATTTATTTGGAATTCAAAAAAGGTTGATAAGAACTATGCTCATACTGAAGTACCGCCAATCTTATTGGGGCAAATTCAAAGACGATAATTATAAAGTGACAGTACATGCACTGTACATTTATGAATGTATAATGCACTTATTCAAACATAAAGATAAGTTCTTGGAGGCAAGATGAAATCATACTTACCCTTTGCTGAATGCAAATATTTGTTTCCCTATTCATAGGGTAACACTAACAGAAAAGCATCATATGTGTCAATCAAGTTTTTCAATGAATTACCACAAAATATCAAATCCTGTGGAAGCTTTAAAAAAATNCATATGTGTCAATCAAGTTTTTCAATAAATTACCACAAAATATCAAATCCTGTGGAAGCTTTAAAAAAATTTTAAAAAATATTTGAAAGATTTCCTTATAGACTTGGAATCATATTCAATTCAGGAATATCTGATTGCTGTTGACTTTAGATTAAGATGGCGTCTTATACAATAAGTTTGAAAATGTCCTTATAGGACGTAACTGCAGTAAAGTTAGTTACAAATAAAAGTGGTAAAAACAGAGAAAGTTTCATTTCTATTTTCTTCATTATGATTTCCTACCATGTAGTATAACGGCTACATCCATCAATTTATTATATTAAGATGTTTTTATTGTTACTGTATACTGATGGTTTTTTCATTTTAATGTTTGTACAATCTGTCTGACGTTGTTGCATTTTATGTTGCAAAACAATGTGAAAGCATATCTTGTAATATATTATATCATTATTATTATTGCTTTTAGCAAATTGTCTACATCTTGTGAGATAGGATTCGAACCATTTCAGACAGTTTCCAGTAATTCCATAATGATGTAGCTTCCACAACAGTATTCTGTGATCAACACAAGTCAGAATACTATTCAAGTTACTACTATTCAAGTTGCTGTATGCTTTATGAAGAAAACTAAATATCGCGTCATTAGCAGTTTTGTTTTCCTGAAACCCAATTTGATGGGGAGTGATATTTTGTTCATATTCAGATTGTCATTAAGACTTTGTTGTAAAGATATTGGTCTTAGGTTTGATGTTCAAATTTCATGGGCTACGTACATTCGAATAGCAATTATTAATTTTTTCATGTTAATACACCCTTCTGGAGCATATGTTTACAGTTCATTTGTTTAGGATGTTTAGTTTGTTGATGAGAGGCAGAGAAATTGAAGTGTTTTGCATGTTCGGCGGTTTTTTGCTATCGAAAAAAATAGACCAAAGAATTTGCATCAAATTTTTTGTAAAAAATTGAATTGGGTGCTCAAAAACACTTGAATTTTTGTTGAGAAAAGTGAAAATTCACCTTTTTTTTAAACAGACTTCGCATGTCTCATATTTATAAACAAAATGTTCATTTCTACTCCTGCTTTTTGAAAATATTACAGTTACAACTATAAAATATACTTTTATTTACCTGTATTTTCTACAGCTATTGATTGGTCCGTGACATTTGCCTCAACTGTTTCTTTGCAAGAGATATTTTCTTCGTTGTGCATTTTTTCTCCACTTTCACATTGCGAAACTTCCATACTAGTCGACTTTTTAATAATTTTCACTTCTTGAATATTTATCTTTTGTGATGTCTTCCACTCAACTGTCTTTTCACTGTCTGCGTCATCCCCACTGGGATCCGCAGCACAGTCCAATTGTTCTGCAGCCTCTGAATCGTCAGGAACATTATGAGTTGCGGTCTCCATTTCATCATCAACATTTTCAGAAAAATCAGGTTCCATTGTAGTGTATACATCGGGGGGGCCTATTGGGGGTCCAACAGGCTGGCACAATTTCTCTAAAGATCTCAAACTTTGTTGGCAAACTGTCGAAATATGTCTATTATTTCTAGTGGAACCATTGCTGAGTATATGTATGGCTACACCAAGGGACAGTGCCTTTTTCAATTCTTTTTTTGCAATATCTTGTTCAAAAAAAGCTCCCAGAACTTGGTACAGTTTTACTTGACACTGTTCATTTGTGTATGGGTGTGGGAACTCAGAAGTACTTATTTCCATCAGAGTGTTTATCACAGATGAATATAAAGCAATCTGTAAACAAGAAATCGGACATGCATTATCAATATAAACTAGGAGAAAATCAATAAAAATAATCTCTATAAATTACACTTTCAAGTGCAGATTATGTGAAATTACATGAAAAAAGGCGAGAATTTTTTTTTTCACAACTACTTCTTAATGGGTATCAACTGACAGGCTTGGCTAGTACTATAGAATTACACCATTGAAAAGATGCAAATCCAATATAATCTATGCAAAGAACTTTGTCAACTCAGAATCGCGTTAGAAGCATGGATCCTCCACTGAAGTAAAGATTTTGTATCGTGTCGAGAACTGTGTGGCGTTAGGGCGGCTAACGCCACACAGCATTGTTAGCGATACACCAACCAAGTTGAGGTAAAAGGTCAAAACTTACTGAGAACTGTGTGGCATTAGGGTGGATGAAAATTAAAAACTGAAAACTTCAAAATGAAATAAGTAAAAAAAATTGTGTTATAGTCAGGTCAAATTAGACCAGAAAATATGAGTAAAGCTACCTAAATTCCCACCAAGCTGANTGGCACCAAAAATATAGGTCTGCATTTAAAATTTCAAAGTTGGGAGTAGCCCAAGTCGGAGGACACCCTGTATAAAGTTTTATGAACATGTCAGGCAGATTCGAATTTTTAATAGCCCTGTAGATCATAACCTGGTAAATTGAAAGAATGTGCGTTGTACAATATCTAGGCAATATTTTTATTGAGAAGTGTTTCTCACAAGTTGAATAAGTCTTTTATCTGAATTTGCTCATAAAAAGTTGAGACCTAGTTAATTATTGGCATGTACTTTGACTTTTGAAGATTGACATCTGTGAAGTTAATAAAATTCAACAACTTACAATCATGAGTGAAACTTACCAATTAGATGTAAAACAACTGCAATTTTGGCATCTCCTCAGACAATCTGTTAAAATTTTGCTTATTTCAAATGAAAACGAGAGCGAGTCGATATTTGACCTGAAAAAAAATTCTGATGTAGGTAATTGTTTTCATAAATACAATCATATGTTAGGAGCAAACTCAAAATTCTTCACAATCATAAATATTCAAATGATTGGCAAAATTGATATGAAATGCTTAGAAAAGATATTTATGGTTTGTTTAAAAACACTAAAATTAATATTGGGGTTTTCAAAATAGATGTTATTATTGCAGTGATATAAACTACAGTAGAACTCCGATTATCCTGAACAATTGGGACCAATCACATTTGAGATCTTTTATAAGAACATAGGCATTAACAGTCAGAGTCACGATTAACGGGAACTGACAGTCAGTTTCTTATCTGAAACATCACTTATTTAGTGTTATCTGAAACAGCGCTATCAAGCGAATCTATCTAATGGTGATAATTCCTCTGAATATATACAAGTCGCCCCACTACTCCAATTTTCAGATAATATACTATATACCGTGTTAGGAATCACACGTTAAAAGGTAAGACCTCGTTAGTCCTTAGCTAGCACAAGTTTCAATTTCTTAGAGTTGTTGTACGAAGGTACAGGCTCACCCAGAGTAGAATCCAGTTCAGATTTTATGTTGGTTAGGCTGGGGCTTTCCAAATAAAAGTATTGTTCCACTGACTCGCACTTTCCGTTATATCAGTTTTTTGAATTGACCATTTATCCTCAAATATCCAGACACTTACAAAAACATGCAGTTTATATCTACGCAAATAACAAATACGTTTCACTTGATGTCTGAACCAAAAACGATATCATACAGGGCCAAATTTTTAATTCTAAGGGTGATTGCTCTTTGTTATTTGTCGTTATTCTTGAACAATCATAACTCTTGAATTAATGTAGCAAATTTCAAATCCTTTGCACGGCTGAATAGAGAATTAAATAATTAGGTTGGCATCCTGATGTGAAGGCACTGAAGAATAAAAGTTGCAAGTTCTATTTTTCTTCTTAGGCAGCTCAGGATCAATACAGTGTGCATCAGAAGTATTACCACCTTATCTAACTCGTTACTGGACTCTTAGGAAAATCGCCGAGACACGTCGATTTTTGATTTCTACAGTGTACATTTTTTATGAATAGTTCACCCCTGATTTCATCCCTTATTGGAGGGGAGCAATCCTGTCGAAAAATTTAAGTAGCATGGTTTGGTAAAAGTGATAGCTCATTTGAAAGGAGGTTTTATTCTCTATTCAACCGTGCAAAGAATTACACCACAAACAGGAAGGCAACTAAACTATAACTAACTTTTTCTGTTATTACAGTAAATGTTCAAAATGTTCCCCATTGACCTCCTGACAAAAATAGAGTATATTTTTAGTTTCAGTCCTGACGCTTCGCAAAGTATCGCGAGTAATTGTTGCACACACTTCCCTATAACGTATACGCAACTCCTGAACAGAGTGACACTGAGTCTCGTAGACTTTAGATTTTAGGTAACCCCATAGAAAGAAATTGAAAGGAGTTAGATCTGGTGATTTTGGATGCCATTCCACAGATCCTCGACTCCCGATCCATCGTCCTGCATAAACAGTATTCAAATAAGTCCTGACAACAACTGTAAAATGAGGAGGAGAATAATGTCCATGTCAATTCGTTTAAATTATTTTCGACAGTTGCCACTATCAGTGGACCTATCACTGTTTCCAGCATTTCCAAATAGAGGGCACCAGTCAGATTTTCCTCAATGAATAACGGACCTATAATGTGGTCATTCAGTATTCCAGCCTACACATTAACTTTTTGGGGAAACTGGGTATGAGTTCTGCGAAAAAGTCGAGTATTTTCATCGGATCAGTACCTCACATTTTGTCTATACGGTCTGGATCATCGTATGTCAGTTCATGCACCATGTTTATTTTATAGGGATGAAATTTACTTTTTTTAGAACTCTCAATACCTTCATCTGCGAAACCTCACAATTCAAGGCAATAAATTCTACTCGACGAGGAGGGATTATTCACAAACTCGTTCATAATGTCCACGTTCATCTTCCCCTATAGTTGATCGCCCAGAACGTGTTTTATTTTACACACTGCCGTTCTCATCAAAAATTTTCCACCTTTTGAAATAATGTCTATCAATAGGGCGATCTGGAAAACGTTCATTGAACATTCATATAGCCTCATGATAATTGCAATGAGCCTCACTAAAAATAATAATCACTTCGCATTTCTCATTTAACACACGAGGTGCAACCATTGTTTGAAGATGAATAGAAAGCACAACTAACAGCTAGAATACACTGACTCGCACTTTCCGTGATATCAGTTTTTTGAATTGACCATTTATCCTCAAATATCCAAAGACACCTACAAAAACATGCAGTTTATATCTACGCAAATAACAAATACGTTTCACTTGAAGTCTGAACCAAAAACGATATCATACAGGACCAAATTTTTAATTCTAAGTGTGATAGCTCTTTGTTATTTGTCGTTATTCTTGAACAATCATAACTCTTGAATTAATGTAGCAAATTTCAAATCCTTTGCACGGCTGAATAGAGAATTAAACCCCCTATAAAATGTGCTATCACTCACCACCCCATGCTATTTGAATTTTTCCAAAGGGTTGCTCCCCTTCAGTAAGAAATGAAATTAGGGGTTAATACTCAAATGTACATTGTAGAAATCAAAAAATCGTCGTGTCTTGGTGGATTTCCTAACAATAGTGCAGTAACGAGTCAGATAGGGGGGGTAACACCTATGATACACACTATATTTCATATCACAATATGTAATCACATTTTTTCTAACAACTCAACAATAACATATTCGAGGGAACAATGAAAAAAATCATCGTTAGTGTTACATTCTACCAAAAAACGTATAAACCAATCTACATAAAAAAACAACTGGTTACCAACTTTTGGCTCTCCCAGACTATTACCATATAATAAATATCCTCAGAAGCTGCAACAGTTGTATCTGTACATCATTCAATAACAATGAAAACTGAAAACTGGATAGTGAGTTCTCTCCTTCAACAGTTGGACAACGATGAAACATGGTTCCTCTCCTGATTAGGTCTAATAATTCATTCTGTTTGATTTCTTTAGCAACAGGATATGCTTTTCTGAAAAGGAATGTGCATTAAACAATAAAAAACCAACATAGGAAATGAATAATGAAAAAAAGTTTAAATGAAGTTATAGAATTTCAAATTACACAAAATTTGAGATCAGAGGCTACTGTAACCATAGTTGGGGTAGCGATGAAAGCATTTATATGAAATTTAATTTTAGACTGGGTGATGCCCACGACTTCATTCAANCCTAAAAAATATAAGTATTGAAATTGTGTGTAAAGGACAGATTTTTTTTGTCATCTGCATTTACCCTTATTTTTTATACTGTTTTCAATCACTTTATTTATTTAAATTCAATTTTTTTTTACCATAACTATTGATTAATATACAAATATGTTACATTTTTTTGAATATTTGGAAAAATAATACATAACTAATTACAAACTCATTTGAACTGACATGCAATAAATGGAAGTTAACTGAATATGGGTTTTTGTACAATTCAGGTTGGGCCCAAGACTGAACCCTGTGGCACCCCACTTCGTACTTTAAAAAACCTGAATTCCTCTATGCTTTTACAGTTACAGATATCAATCTTATTTAATTTATTCCTTGAGAAGATTTGGCTAATATGAACTAGGATCTTAATATATAAAATATAGCAAACGACTACATAGTATATCTAACCTGCTGTAGATGATGGAAAGCAATTGCAGCTTTTTTCACAACTGATTTTGATGAATCTTCCAAACTCTGAAGGAGAAAAGTTTCTATTCGGTTTTTGTGGTTGGTGAACCAGCTGGAGTATCGTTTCATACATATGGCCAGGGTTTCCAAAACTGAATTTTTCTCTTGGGAATATGTGTGTGGTGATAGGCACATTTCAAGAACTTTGCTTATATACTCCGATATAAACCTTTTAGTAAATTCCTGCTCGTTGTATGCCACTTCAACGATTTTTCCTAAAATAAATTGAATCCTAATTGAATTATAGGGGAAACTAACATTATCATTGTTTGTAATGCTTTCAGATCAGAACAAATTTAGCAATCATCAGTTTCCAAATTCATTCAGTCTTATACGAGGTTTGTCAATAAAACCTAAATTATTGTACATGCAAAATAGATATAAAACATTAAGTGATTGAAAAGCCACTGTATGTCGAAAGAATGAAGGGTTTTTAACTTGTGGTCCAATGTTTTAAAGAATTTTTAATGATTATGTCAAGCACTTTCAAGTTGTAATGTCTCATTCACAATGAATAAACTGACTGATTGATTAGAACATAATATTGAGGAACTTATAATACTATGAAGAAAACAAAAATCGAATCCTTAATTCTGGGCCAAGGTTCGGTTTACCCACAATATGGAAGGCTTTTTGCAAGGAATAAGAACAATATAAATATAAAAAATCTTGGGATGGATTCATGGGGTGGATTGTTTTACTACAATGAACTAACAACACACAGATATTACAAGTGAGTATTTATAAGATAATATATATGCCATTGAAAATTAATGGTTAACTGGTAAGTATTTCTCATGACTAGCGATCTATGACAAACTGGGTACATGAATTCATCCTTACATTATCACACTTACCAATTAAAATCAGCTTCATCTCTTTCAGGCTATCCCCCGAATATTTCACTAGGCAGTGATTGATCCAATTCAGTGCATTCTCTTTTATGATTCCACTGGAGCAATTATTGATTATCAAATTCAAGAATACGAAACCTTGTAAACGGCTTTTGGTAACTGAGAGCAATTTATTCACTAAACTAATGACCACTCCTTCACTAGTATGGCATTGTAAATTCAGGTTCAAAATATTTGAAAATATGGATTCCATGCAGTCATCATAATTTGAAATTTCTTCAAGTTGAGAACTAGTCAAAGGCATTTTGTGAGGATATTGATAAGCACAAAGTGGTGTGATTTTTTAAAACTGAGAATTCGTTTTTGCTTACTTCACTGATGAGTTTATCGGAGAGAGTTTATATTTTAAATTTTAAGTAAGTTAGAAGTCATATTCGCTTTGCATTCTCAACATAACCTAACACCTAGGAAATAAAAGTAAACGAACTATTATGACGTCACTGAAACGAACATAGCCACAAATTACCATGTGCATTTGGCCAGGCTCCCTCTGTTCATCGTGAACAGAAGCTTCGTACGGGGTGCACATGTCTTAATCGAAGCAATGCTCTCACTCTAACTTCTTTCATTCGCTTCTTCTTTTAACAAAAACACTTAATTTTTTTTAACGGTCACCGCCTTCTCGGGAGGCTTTTGTATAAAAATAACAAAAATACACATGTTCATATATTTTATAAAACTCACGAATTCGTCGACATCCATCCTGGTTACTGATGTAGGGAGTCGCCAGTTCTCTTATATTTCACTTCACTTTTTGTTCAAACATATCTTCATTTTAGATTACATTTCATTTTGAGTCTATACTTTTTGGACTCCACCCCGATCACGACATTCACGTGCTATCTTTGAAGGCGGTCGTTATCAGCACAACCGTCCTCTGTTTGTAGGTGATAGACAAGAATAATTGCAGCTTGATCCTGCTGCTGGACGAAAAAAAAATCATCTGACCGACTAACCTCTGTGAGGTATCTTGCATAAATGTCTGTCGGGTGTAATTCAATATTCAGCGTGATAGTTGCCTGGGAAGTATTTGTTTTCTAGCAGTCATTTACCAGAACCTATGGTGTATATAGGTAGTTGGGGAAGATGAATATTTCGAAATTTTACCTTATTCATAATTCTTATTATTCCAAGTTTTAAGTCAGAATTTCAGAGATGAATGTTGGGAAAATATAAATATAACAAAGTCAGAAATATACCTGTTACAATTATTACACCTGTTTCGAGACATTCCATCCCGAAACAAGGATCCCAGAGAGAGAAAGCGAGACAGGTATGTCAATTGACAAATGTCATTGAAAAAAGTTGTAAGGTTAGAGTTCAGTAATGTCATTGTTAACAAGTGTAATATAGTACTGCTTAAATCGAAGTTTTGGTTGTACAAGTAATTTTCTAATTGATAATTGATTTCGATTTATTACCTTACTAAATTGATGACACAACACATGATATGGCTACGGTGAATCCAGATGTATTTCGAAAGTTTAAAAACGCAAAAAGATTACCTACAAGACAAGAAGGGGACGGCCACGAAATAGAGGTACGTAAATATCAAGTTTCATAATCTTTCGTTTAACAATTCTCTAAAGAAATCGCATACTAATTATTATTAAACTATTCTTACGGTGGTAATAGTTGAAATTAATTGCGGTCCCTGTGGTTTTGAGTTTTGTGATATCAGAATTTGTTATCTGTTTCACAACCCAATCAAATAGTGTCATTCAATGAAATGAATGATAACTGCTCTTATATCAGGCTCATTATTTAGTGTAATGTAGGATAAACATATTTTTCCTTCATTAGTGAATGCAGTATATCATGTAAATAGTTTCATTATCAGGAATCATAAACATTCCCCCTGTGTTGGATCTTATTTGGAATGACATGAATTTCTATAGGGACAATATATAAGCAGAAGAAATTACCTGGATTTGTCAGAGCTGATGAAGCATCAGTCGGTCAAGTTACAGGAGATTATCGATATTTTGGTGGCAGCTGGATATTTCAGGGCCAGGATCAAAGGTTTATCCCCATTCGACAAAGTTGTTGGTGGCATGGTTTGGTGTATAGAATCTTGCAATGTGGATTTGGACGTTGATTTGCTTTTTCAGGAAAACTCAACTATTGGTCAGAAAATGTAAGGAAAAGTTGAAAGCGGCAGTTCCATAATTCATATAAAAGTATTTTTTTCATTGATTATGGTCTATTGCATTTGTGTATTGGAATGAGGACAACTTTCTTACAGTTCTATTTATCTACTGGTATTGAAAATTATAAACATTATCCAAATTCACTAAACGCATAGTTTCAATAAGTTCAAAAATTTGCTGAAAACATTATTACATCGACAGGTTTTCTACACGCTGGATAAATTATTCGAAAGCAATCTATAAATTGATAACTGACAACATTTATTTATATTTCAATTTTTCTTGTTTGTATAGTGTGTTTAAATCAAATAAATTGTTTGGTTTATACAAATTCACTGGTGGTTCTGAGTACGATAATTTATATATGCATTCAGTAATTTTATTTTGTAAAGATTTCAAAGGCTTATTATATCTCAAAGAATTCCAAAAAAGAGAAGCTGCTCATGCAAGATGAGTTTTCAGTTATTGCAATAGATCTTATTTGAACATTTCTTAAACTGTAAGCTGAGACATTGAAGTGACAAAAACATTCATATAGAAAATGGTTTTACTTATTATCTATGAGATGATATCTATTGAGTATGAATGAAATACTATTGATTTTGAAGCATACAAATTAAAATTACTGATAATGTATATTGCATTTAAAATTTCAAAGTTGGGAG